CCCCCCCCTCCCCCTCCACACACCACACACACACACACACACATCACTGACAGATTTACAATCTGCCTCTGCGGATCCTGCAGCGAGCGCCTGCCTGGCCTTCCCTCTCCCCTCTTTCCTTGTGTGTGTGTGTGTGTGTGTGTGTGTGTGTGTGTGTGTGTGTGTGTGTGTGTGTGAGAGAGAGGAGGAGGGGGGAGTGGAAGAGGGAAAGGGCGGTGGAAGGGGGTCCAGGGGCTTAACTCTCTTATTTTATCAGCGAGTAATCCAGAGTTCTACTGATTTTGGTGGCAAACAAGGCGTCCTCCACGACACTTATCGACAACATTCCTTCTACTGAATGGACCTTAGATATGTAAACACGCACGCACACACACACACTCTCACACGTCGTGGAATCAAATGCGGGGCAAACACTGCTCTGTGTTCCCCGAATGGCGCAGGGCAGTCGAAGTGATACGTAGAACGGTCGAGATTAAGGGTTATGGCGGCATACCTTTAACTTTTCCCGACCTACCCCAATTCGCTCCCCCTCCTCTCTCTCTCTCTCTCTCTCTCTCTCTCTCTCTCTCTCTCTCTCTCTCAAACACACACACAGCCTTTACTGAACCGCTCACACAGGTCAGCTATCGAAACAGACAAGGGCGGTCGGTATACGTCCCGTTCCAGAGCACGACAACGGAGAAGCGCAATGTTGTAGGCGGCCCCCGGCCCCCGGCCCGAGTGTGCGTTTGGCGTCCCCTTTACATCCGTGCACAGCGGGGCCGCTGGCGTTTAATGCCAAACGCGAACGTGCGTGCGTGTGCGTGTGTTTGTGTGCGAAAGACACAAGAGAGAAAGAGAGAGGGAGAGAGGGGGGAGGGGAGTGAGAGGGACAAAATAAATAAAAACTGAGGCGCTCTTGCTGTTGGTCTTGTTGTGCTGTGCGATGTCGATCGTTCGATCGCTCCGCGCCTGCTCCTCCCCGGCTGTCGTAGGTCGGAGAGAAGAATCCGCGGCATTTCGCACCTTTACCTACCTTGCTCTTCGTTATTTTCTTCTCGCGCTCGCACTGCCACCCACCCACCCTCGTCTCTCTCTCTCTCTCTCTCTCTCCGGCCACCTACGGCGCGGCGAAGGGGCTTTGCGGTGGCGGGGCGTGGTCTCCGTGTCGCCACGCCCCGCCACGTCCCGCCCAGCCCATAAGGCACACCAACCCCCCCGTTCCGTTCCCACGCCTTAATCATTATCAATTAAATTTGAATTTAATGAAATTGGCTTCCTGTTTCATTTCCCTTTCCATTACGAGGCGTGGCTCTCTGGGCCGGCGGGGCGTGGCGGGGCGTGGCGGGGCCTCTCTCGCGGTGCGGCGGCACGACGGTCGCCAAGGGCCTAACCCGCCCCCACCACGCCCCGCCACGCCCCCCACCGGAATTACCACCGCCGGCACCGCCGGAGTGTCATTCCCACGAGGTGTATTATTTAAAATTTCGTAACGAAATAATACATGTTGCCTCTATATTAAGACACCGTGCAATTAACACACGTCGATCAAAGTAGCATGTTCCACCTAAAATGTCTTTCTCAAACCCTTTTCGGGCACTATTGGCATCGTGGATATGCGATACGCCTATGGTTGAGAGCTCTCTGCACACCGTGGAAACGCCAAAGTTCCCTCCACAACCCCTTTCCTTCACCTCCAGCTCGATCGCTTGTAGCCCAGCGCGCCTTGCTCGGCCTGCTCAATGTGCCGTGACGACGCCGCCGCTCACCCCGCTGATCTCTCTCTCTCTCTGTTCCGCAGGGGCATCGCGAAGGCCGGCGAGCCCAACAACCTGCTGCCGCACGCGCCCCTGTCGCCGGGCATGCTCTACATGGACGCCAGCCTGCACGTGAACCTGCGGCGCAAGCAGCGGCGCCTGGTGCGCGACAACCCCGGCGTGCTGCTGGCCGTGTCCAAGGGCGCCAAGGCGGCCGTCAGCGAGTGCCAGTACCAGTTCAGGAACCGGCGGTGGAACTGCTCCACGAGGCACTTCCAGCGCGGCAAGAACCTCTTCGGCAAGATCGTGGACAGAGGTGAGTGTGACGTGCGCCCTAGACGGTGGTGGTGGTCAAGCGAGCTGCATGAGAAATCCCACCGGCCCGGCGGTCTGCATCCTTGTGTGTGTATGGCTGGGTCTACCGACTGAGTCAGCTCTTCCGCCCGCGGCCAGCGGCGGCGCCTGGCGCCAACATCCGGCCCGGCGCCGCGCCCGCCCGCGGCCCGCAGCCCGCGGCAGGTTACCACATTCGCGAGGGCGCCAGACACCTTCCTCTGGCCCTCTGGTGCCTTCCCAGTGCCCGTCCTCATGCCCGGCGAGGTCCCTGTCCTGGTGCCTGTTTCGTTGCCCATCGCGGTGCCCGTCCCGGTGCCTATCCTGGTGCCCGTCCTCGTGCTGCCCTGGTGCCCATCGTAGTGCCTACTATGGAGGCCGGCCTTGGTGCCCTTACTAGAGCTCGTCCTGGTGCTCATCGTGGTGCCCCGTTCATAAGTGCTGCCCTGGTGCCCATCCCGGTGCCCGTGCCCGTTGGCCGCGCCGGGCCGCAGTCCCCGTGCCCGTTGCCCGTTTCTGATTCCCACGCCTTGGCGGCGGCGGCCTGTGCTGCCAGTGCCGCCCGGCCGCCCCGCGCTGCGCTAGGGGGGGGGG